GAATAAGAATCTGATTTTCAGTGGAATTAAAAGATACATTTACTATAATTTGGAGATTTGAGGGTCTTTATTGTATGACCTCTGGAAGTGACCCAGTGAATCCAGGAACATGTTGTCATTAGAGAAACACATTACACTACAAGCCTGAGGGTTCCAAAAATGAGAGAGAGCAAAATATAGTGGAAAATAAAAAAATGACCTACCTGTACCCATTTTGTACAGATCTGAACACTTAATCATAGGCTCTGGATGAAAGCTGTGAATAATGTCTTTTGTAGTGATTGTTATTTTGCCATTTGAAGAATGGGGATTTTTTTAAAGTGTCTGTAAAAAAAGACAGAGTTTAAGCTCTTATTTCAATAAAGTGCAACAAGGACACATGTGTAATTAGTATCTTTCTGAATTTGAATTCGGACAAATTTGGATGATTTCAGCTATTCTGAAGCATCCAAATTTCTACACTCTTTAGAAACTGAAACAAAACAAAAACAATTATTAAGGGTTGCTCAAACTACCATAACCACATCTGTGATTTGAAGTGGCCATGGTGATAGATTCAGTATGTGCAGCGTTTCTGTTACTAATTGTATGCTGAGGGCTAGTTGCACCCCCAGCACACATGACATTGTCAGCTTTCCCTCCTTCCCATCCATATTGCGTTGCTTTACACCTTAACTACTATACAATTTAAAGAGCAAATTTAAGAAAAATGTATTCAATTATTTTTGCTCTTTCAGCTGTTTAACATATAAATCCCTAAACTGGTACCCATACTTGGGATTGTCTTCTTTAAGGATACCAAATAAGGGCAGTTTATCAGATTACTCCCTCATATGAATGTGTATTCCTGTCACAATAGTGTTAAAAACACATGTTAGGCTCGTTTCCTCCCTTAATCCCCTTAAATAGGGTTAAAACTCACCTTTAACTGGCTCCGCCCCTGAATTGACAATCTTTGCCAATCCAATTTATTCCCATAGCATACACTGCAAATCGCTACACTCGCCAATCAACATTTCCTCATAAAGATGCATTGAATCAATGCATCTCTATGAGGAAAGTTCTGCGTCTCCATGCAGAGCATGGAGAGGAGATGCTAAATGTCAGTGCTGCACATTGTGTGTCCCTAGGGAGCAATGAAAACACTGCCTTTACTTTAAAATGAGGACACAAAGGATGGTGAAGCGCCCAGGAAGTCCTTAAAAAGTATATAGTGGAAATAAAAAAGGAGAGCTAATAGTGAAGTATGCAGCAGCTCCAGACTATAACAGTATAAAAAATAGGTACACGCACACTTTTTGGAAGCTAGGATGCAGCTCCAACTTTAACACCTGCGTGGAATAATGCCTGCCTGTGGGTCTTGTGGAGTATGAGTTCTTGTAGTATGTTCTTATGGTGGAGATGACTCTTCTTGATATGTAGAAGAGATGAGAGGTATATGGTGCAGTATGTCACATAAAAATAAGGCTAACAAAGGATAATAAGTATACACTCCCGTGTTCCGGAGTCTGAAGAGTGGCTGTGCAGATTTGGCGTGAAATAGTATAATCTCCACTATTGGATGTTGGTGATGATGGTTTCTCTTCTTCGGTGGTATGGAAAAAGGAAAAGAAGATCCAAAATAGTGTACACCGTCTTTAGTGCAAGATAAAATAAGGCAGATACAGAACTACTCATGTTTAGTAGAGCAAATAAGGATTGCTCTATCCAACAAGAATAGGTGGTATCATCCCCGCCAAGGATATGGGTGTTCTGAGGTCCAAGCAGCAAACGGGTCCAATAAAAAAGTACTTTTATTGATAAAGTATTTTAAAATAGAATAAAATAGCTGTATAAAACAATAATATCATACACTTAATCACCAAAAAAATGGCTGTATCTAAAGTGTTTTTAGATAAAGTGTCTTTAGATAAAGCAATTTTTTAGGTAAAGCCAGTTTATGCCTGTTGAGTTTAGTCCACTGAGTTTACCAAACCAGGAAATAACAGGACTGGTTGCCTGATTGACAGCCAGGGGTGTGTGATAAGGTTAATTTATAAAAATGCTAATTTCTGTTGAAAGGTGCACTTTGTAAAATTAAAAAAAGATGGCACACTTTCACACATACATTCATTTGTTTGGAATGTTCCTATATACTTCTTCCTTAAATAGCAGTTCTCCTATTAACGTCTAGGGGACAAAAATGTGTTGTGTTTTTTTTGGGGGGGGCAAATCACACTATAGTAAAATAACACTTATACTGTTTTGTGAATCTTTAACCCCTTCTTTGTAAAAAAAAAATATTAAGATTTACCTGAAATGGTATGAGTAGCTATGACAAAATAAAACATCAATATGTTAAAAGTTACACATACCCACATATGGTATTTATGGAACCTAAAGACATGTCAGAGGATGCAGCTACCCCTAATAAGCCACACTTTACCTATGCTGCCCATAAATCTGCTCCGGGCTGCCTTATGCTAATTCTGTGCAAAAAATACGTCTGTCGTCAGCCAACATAGCGCAGTGGCAACAGATATAATGAGCTTATCCCTTCCAGACAGCAAGCCTAGAGGGGAAAGCTTCAGTTCCCCTCCAATCTTCAGTGCCCCCACCTCCCTTCAATCAATATTATTCTATTTTTTTATACAAATCCCCCTCCATCCTTCCATCCACCCCTTCCTCCCCTACCCAGCTTAGTTTATGCGCATGTGCTATGATCCAATCAAATGCTTCTCTGAGGAGAGGAACACTGTGACAGCTGACAGGGTGCTTCGCCTGGACATGGATTCTAGGTAGGTTTACATCTTATTTTAATAGAGTTTTACCAGGAGGACATTGTAAGCTAAAACAAAGAGATTTTTTTTAAAAGGGTTAGAGTAACTCTTTAACTTCCTCCTCTCTGACTCAGATACAATTTGTCTAGTCCTACACCATATTTTTATGTTATCGCACTAGCACATGGGGGTTACAAATAATTAATTTTACCTCCTCTTGTTGTTTGTAATCACAGTATCTACAGTAAAATGTGGGCTGTCTATTGTGTCTTAGTGACTGAGAGGGTCTCGTTAATATGTTTATTCTGTATATAATACATCTGTGCACCTGGGAATGTGACCTTCTATATAACAGCACTTAGAGCAAATGGACAGGTCATTGCTCTCCCAAAAAGTCTCATTTGTGTCAGAGTACTCATTGCTGGGTCATAAAATACAGGTGCCATACCAGGGAGCTGGAATTGACACAATGTATTAACTTTACAATGTGTTTCTCAACCTGTCTTCTGCAGTCTGTACACAGGACAGATGTTAGGAAACATATTTTCGAATTGTTAACAGAGCAAACTGCTGAATTTAAAAGGGAGTATAGGAAATATATTACTCCATCATTTGTTACTTATGGTCTTTGTAATTTAAATATATAAATGTTTTAAGGGTTTTTGAGTCTTGGGGGCTAGTCATTTGAGAAAATTACAGCCAAATACCAAATAGGTAAGTCGCGCATATTGTCATGTCCTCCCAGAGCTCTGTGTCATGTTTTTGGATACATGAGAGAATGTAAATAATTTCTCTCTCGTGCAGAAAGAACTCGCCATCGTTTTTGACCTGGACTGCCCTTGTGGATGGGATCAGTTTGATATGTGAATGGATGAGGCTCTTTGTCTATAACGGCACAAGTGAGATAAAACCTGAGCTGGGACCTGTAGAAGGACAAACAATTTGAGCAGTTCTCCATTCTCACTGTTCTCATAACCGCTTGTTTTTGGTTCTTCCTGAAAATTTCTTCCTGAAATTAAAGCGTCTCTGTCACTGTCATATTTTTCAAAGACCCTCAATGGTGACTGCTCCACTTGGTGTCTAGTGACCGTGGGGTAGTGACAGGGGAAAAGTAGGTTTGACTTATCCGAACCTGTCCCCTCATCTGGGTGGTCCTCTTTAGCTCATGATGGTTCAGCCTCCAGGAGCCCACTTCAGTGTTGTACTCTTGTACATGTGTGAAAGTACAACATCGAGGTCTATAAAGGATCCCACAGGACCCTACATAGACAATGCCTTTTCTTGAGGAAAATGACAAAACATAATGGTCAAATATTGTCAAGCATAGGAAATACACTAAGGCACTCCCCTAGGCCTTTAGTCCCTACTTTGTCTTTGTATATATTTTATCTACGAAATATTTCATACATATTTTATCTTCTAATTCTAATTTCGGAGGGGAGGGAGTGACAGGACCTCTTAAAGTCCCAGAATATTTTGACAAATTGACTGAAAATGACGTATCTATCAACAGGAAACAAGAAAACTTGTGCAATGATATGATCTCAAAATGAAAAAAGTATTTAAGGATTCCTGAAAATTCCACCTGTTTTGCTAAATATATTTTTGGATAACTGTGATAGCTGAATTCTCATTACATGTACTTGACATCCCCATCTCTATAATATCTCAATAAGCATGTGATATTCAAGATATTTAATGTTCTGAATACCCAAGCTTTATCCTATTAATTATGACTTGAACCCAGGGTCACTGTTGGTAAATAAAACACGCAAAGAAGAGGGACATTGACACCAAGGGTGACAGCTTGATGAGGGAGATCCTTTGGTAGAGAAATAGAATTCTAAATATAATTTAATGATATCTTTACTTTAACCAATCATTAGAAGCATATTTTAATGTTACTAAGCAACTACTTTAAATGTGATCAGGCATGTGTTGTTCTAACTGGAGAACAAATTCTAAGAAATCTATCGATATTCTCAGGTGATCTGTAAAATGGTCACATAACATCTCTTTAAAAAAACAGCTTTTTTCTCTCCTTCCCTTATTCTTTAATGACATCCATTCTATAGAAACCACACTATAAATATATATACACACAAGAAAACATATCCTTATATATTTTATTTTTATCTGATGTCCGTTTATATAATAAGGCAGTTCACGTAGCATTAACCTTTGGCTTTTTATCTGGGTGAAAAACTACTTGTTGAATAGATTAGTTTTGTCTGGAAATTCGGCAGCTGTTGCTAACTCCAATCATCCTTGGGCTGAGGATCTGAGAATGATGGGAAGCGTAGTCCAGAGTCAGATCAATATTCTGCTGTGCGTTTGATAATGAGTTTTTGCTGTGTGTGTCACTGACAGACAGTGCTGTATGGGATGGCTTTCTTCTTGCATGCCAAGAGGCTAGCAAACGAGTCCCTGCTGTGAGTTCAGAGCCACGTCAGAGCATTGCGATCAGTACGGTTCTCCCTTCCAGACAGCCGTTCGTTCACTGGCATTTGAGCTGGGAGTTAAATGAAAAGTCACATTAATAAGAGACAAGACACAGAGATTCTTGGAGCCGTGTGACACAAGGATAGAAAAGAACAAATGCTGGAAGCTTTATTGTTCCGTCTCATCTGTGCGAAAGAAAGCGATCTGGTACAGCCAAACAAGTTCATTATCGTTGATTCCATGTGTCGACTCTGACCAAAACGGGGAAAAAGGCATTACCGAAACCGTTTGCCGAAGAAGAGGCTGAAACAAGCTTTCAAAGTTATTTCAAGATAGCGGAAACAAAGAAAAACAGCAAACGTTGGGAAAGAAAACGAAGGAAAAAAAACTCCCTCTAGAAATTGCCAGCGCTGAGAGGAGAAACATTTTTTTTTTCACTGCTTTTATTTTAATCACAGGGATAGTAGTAAGAGGTAGAGACTGACAGCAAGCAGGCGAGTGAGAGAGAGGGAAAGAAAGAGGGAAATAGAGAGAGAGAAGGGGAGAGGAAGGGAGAGAGAAAGGGTTTGCATTTGGGATTAACGGCAGGAGGTGAAGGCAGGTTTCTGGCAAAGAAAATTAATAATAAGCAAAGGATTGCATGACCCCCCTCTCTGGATTGTCTCCCCGCCTCCATAACTGGACTACAGCAGATCGTGGAGTAAAAAGGATAGATCACTCACACAAAAGGGAAACACAAACACACAACCCTACTGAGGGATTCAGAGACCATTTACAGAGAAAGCAAGAGGAGACAGCACACTAGACGCCTGAGGAAAGATTTCTAGAATTATTCTTTTTTTAAACCAATATATCTATCTTTTTTTTTATCCTGATTGGTTTCATTTGTTTCTATCCTGGCTTTTGGAATTTCACAGAAGAGTGGGAAATTCTTGAATAGATATCTGTTTCTGCCTATTTCATTCATCAGTCTGAGGAATCCGAGGATTTTAAAAGGGTTTGGAGGGGAAAAACACTCACTTTTTACATATCTGAGCATACACGTTCGCCTCAAGATGAGAGGGAAAGGTAGGAAACAGAATCTTTCTGATTCAAGGGATCTGGACGGATCGTACGATCAACTCACAGGTAAGTCTTTATACCTACATATATGGATACATTTCGGAATTATGTGCTTCTTTAAGAAACTGCAGCATCCCTTAGCAACAAATCGCTTTGCTACTAAAATATATATAGAAATAAATAAAAAATAAACAAAGAAAATGTATGGCATTTAAATAACAGTTTTTATACTTCAAACCTATGTATATATTGTTTATTTAGGGTGTAAACTATCAAGCATTGAATACTCATGAGTAGTTAAAAATCAACAAGGTGTTGTAAAAAAAGGCCTCTATTAACCCATTGCTGGACCAACTGAAGGGGTTAAAGGGCTGCTGTACAAGGTGGAGGTTCCCTCTGCCAGGTTTATGGATGTGAGTTTGAACGGTGGACTGGATCACACGAATGATTCCCCAGTTCTGTGGTTGAGCTGAGTTTAGAAAGTTGGGCAGGGTAGAAGGCACATCAAGTTTGGTGAATAACATGACACAGTCGTCCAAACTGTGATTTGGAAGAGAACGATGTCAGTGCTACTACAATAATGAATCTTCCAAGTAGTGGCTTATTAAAGCAGAACCAAGCAGATGTATGGAAGGATCTCCAGAGCTTTCTCAGTAGATCCTATAAATAGAAACTATATGGCAGTGAATTAAACATGCACAGGTAGAATGTAGGTAATACAAGAAAAACTCAGGGGCATTTATTCGTTAAAACTCAGTCTTTTGATATTTAAATTATAATTCTTGTATGATACATTTCATCCTTTGATCTTCTCTTCTACAGGAGCTCAGATATGATTCCAGTTACATGCTGATCATTCTGTGTATTGGTTTGTTGACAATATGTTTAACAAAAACTGCAATCCAAACATTAGACATGTAATATTTCCTTCTGTGCATTACGAACGTGGAGTTGGTGGGACAGGGCATGCCAAGCTGGGAGATAACAGATGGGAAAGTGTTACAAATAATTATTTGCCAAATGGTAAAGGGATAGTCGATATCAGGTGTAGCCTTCCAGTCGAAATGGTAATGTCTAATACTGTGATGGAATTCACAGTTGTGTTGGTATGTTATGTAAAACTCTTCTGACAAATCAATAAACAGAAAACTGTTTTTTTTTGTACAACAAAAACTATGGAAGGAGTGACCATCACTGCTTTGCTACTTAACATGTCAGAACATATTAAAGTTAACTTGTATCCACTTCTTGAAATATTAATATGCAATAGATGTATTGCACTAGTGACGTCATCAGGCTGGTGCACATATTGAACGTTTTACTTACTGAAATTTACTTCCTGCTCTGTACTGGCTGCAGTTTGCTAGGCATTGTGGGACACGTTTACAATCAGAACATATTAGTAAAATGTCTATTAATAAATTAATAAAAAATCTAAAACTGCACAAAGAAAAATACCAATATGTCAAATCTTAACGTAAATTGCACTTCAAACTGTGGCAGCAATCACTTTTCAAATATTATCCGTTACAGATATAATATAAAATCCAGGCATTGTTTATAATTGTATAAACAGCCTATTTGTTTCAGACAACATATTGCCAGCATTTTATTGTAATTTTCTTGGCTTTGAATACAATGTTTAACCAGCTTTGGGCATGATCCGAAAATGACTAAATAGAAAAGTTGAAATTCCAAATCCAACTTAAAGAGTGGTAGATTAAAGGTAAACTAATATTTAATTGGCACAATCAGATTAATCAGAATAAAGGGTTTCTGAATTCTGTTTATGTTCATTAATAGCAATCTCGTCAGTTTCATGTTTGCTTGGGAGCTTGCGCTGGGCTCTGTAACATTTGAGTTCAATCTTATACCTGTACACTGCTTCTCCATTTCTAAAATCATTCTCAAAATGTATCTCTTTAAAAAATATATATAACTAAATAAAGTTACCCTCTACTTAGTGACAACTAACCTTGGCATTTCACATATTTCCAAACTACATCTGCTGTGATGTTAAACTAGACTTACAGCTAAATGAGCACTAGCCGACATTTATAGTTCAGAAATATTTGTATAGCCAAGGCTCACCCTCAATGTCCTACAATTACACCCAACTCTAATAAAAACAGGTTTAAACTGTGAATTGTGATGAGGTAAAGCCAAAGTTGCAAAATCTAAATGTCTCCTATCAACCATCATTCAGCTATTTCAGGCCTCGGTTTCACAGTTCTGTTTTTAATTTATCACAGTTTGCTGTTTAGCAAATAGATCCATTGTGCTCCACCTGTCCTCTATTTAATCTCGATTGTAAACTTCTGAGCAGAGCTCTCTCTGTCTCATATAGCAACATGTATCTGTCAAACTGAGTTTCCAGTGCACTTCAAGCACGCTATCAAGGGTCATGTAAATGGCTGGTGTTATCTAAATAATTCATAATAATACTAATGTATACAGAAGGTGCAGGCTATAAAACTATGAGTGGCAAACTGCTCGGTTTTGGGATTCAGTTGAGTTGCTTTTATGTTTTCAACCTTCCAGCCTCCTTTGTAAAAGCCATGATAAGACTAAGCAGAATATTTAAATGTATCCTGACAATTACAAACTGATTGACAACAAGCACCTGTTGGCCCGTATTGTTTTATTAAAGAAAACAAACATGTAGAAATAAAGTAGGCATAAATATTTAAATATTGTGAACAACCCTTCGGTGCTAACAACAAAAAAATAAATAAAAATAAGGTATCTGTTTTAAACTGAGCACAATTTTGAATTCATTACATTAAAAAAAAAAGCAAATTTCAAATTAAAGTAATATCACTGTTGTTAGCCAGAAACACCATAATTTGTTTTTGCTAGTTTCTGAATACATTAGGAGATTGGTATTGCCCAATTTAATAGAATTCCTTTTATTGACCTCAGAAAGATTAAAGGTAGAATTGATCTTACTGGGAAGTGAGCTTCTGAGCCTATTCAGTCTGTGAGTTTTCACAAAAACACATGTACGTACTTGCTTGTATGTGCGTGTATGTACGAGTGTGTGTACACAAACACACTTATGGCAAAATGAAGCGAAAAACTTACAGATATTGAACCGATACCAAAAGGTGATAATTATTATGTTATATGGATCAACAGTTTTTTAATCAACATCTGATATACACTAAAATGTTGATTTATGTAACCTAAAAATGTCACTTTTATGGGTATTGAAGGATCATAGGTGCTTTGCTTTTCACTTCGACTACTGGAAACCCACAAAAGTAAGAGTGCTGATAAAATGTAATTGACCGGAGAACTCTGTCATATTTCTCATTATCTCAAATGCCATGAGAAATGTGCCCATGCAAAATCGGTTTCAGAGGTTTATTCACTAGACTGGAAATCGTGGTGGGCTAAGCTAGCTGAGATGCAAAAAATTAATTCAAAAATAATTCTAAATCAGCCATTTTGGACTAAAATTTATGATTCAATTTTAATTCTCCACAATCTCAATTTGTGGAAATTCCTGCAAAATGTCACAGATAGCACTGTAGATATGAGGACTGGTTAAAACTGGACACAACTAGAGGCCCGTGGGCTGAATGCTGACTGTGTGGACATTAACAAAATAAACAGCCTGTTAAAAATATCCGTAAATTTCACTCTCCATTCCTTCTCTTAATCCCAAACAAAGAGTGTTAGTACATGATGGCTGCGGTTCCACCCCTTAACTCCAAACAGAAGGAGCGAAGAAAACTTACAACAAAGATAGTCATCGTGACAGCTGAGTTGCTGTATTAATCCAGTCTGTAAATGCAATGTGCTATTGTAACCGTAGTCCACAAAGAAAGGTACCTCGGTACATGGCACCTGCTGGAATTACTGGTGACCTAGGTGGATCTTTAACCCAGAAAACCAACAAGTCTTTTGTCTTTTTCCACATTGTTTTCTGTGTGAAACAGTGGTGTGTGATCTGGCATGGTAGAAGGCAG